AGTCCCCAAAGGTGGAATCACTATGCACAGGGGTTATCCTATGACACTGAAACAACACAGCAGGAAAAAGGTTCAGCACACACCCTTATACTGCAGCAGTGTTGATATGGTTTACCTTATTCTGAGTTCTCTGAAGAACAGAAAGTGAGTATAAGGAAGGGACAGAGACAGGGAAGTCTTGAAATCTTTTTTCCATTTACCCCAGATAAAATATTTAAGGATTACGACTGGGAGGTCTTACTGCTCTGTATATGTTTGAGGTGACAGCAGGTCTTGCTTGCCAGCACATTTGAAGATGACAAGATCAATGGGAATTATCAGTTTTATGAATCCAAAATACTCAGATTTGCCCTTGCTGAAGGTAACTGAACTCATGCAGATGGATTTCACAGAAGAGGAGAGGCAGGTGTGCATACTGCTTGACAAATACAGAGCTACATTTCAATGGGGGGCTCAGGAGGATACATGCCACTTTATTCCAACACCCTCGTTCTTTCCTGCTTCTGGTCCTATGCAATGATTTGGTTTAGCAAAGGTTTCCATCTGGAGACACTACAGGTGCAGCTCACACAAATATAAATGGTTTTGAATGGTTTTAACCAATAACAATTATGAGAAACTCTCCCTAGTGGTGGGCAATCACAGGTCTACCACCCTGAAGTGAATTTTGCTCTCTATAAATTAGGATGGGGCTGTTTGTCTGTTTTTTAACTTCTGTAGCAAACACTGGTCCCAAAGATAAGTGCAAGTAGAATCTGCCAAATCACTATTTTGGTCTTATTTGTCATTCTTTGACATCTAAAAGCCTTCTAAGACGCTGCAGGGGGACAGTGCGTGTGTTAAAAAAAAAAAAATCCAACAAACAAAACAAAAAAACCCAACACAAATATTCATGGTATTAAATTCGTTAAACATTCAAGCACCCAGAAAACCAGGGAAGTGAACCCCAGCACAAACTGAAAGTGAAGACTAGCCTTTGGGACCCTCACCATAATATATATACTCAGAGAAGAACCACTGCTTATCCAAACCACTTTGCAGTGTGCAAAACAATTACGTACAGCCAACCCTTTGGCTGCTGCCATTCCACTGGCCCCACCTGTAGAAAACCTCTGAGGAAAAAAAAAAAAGGTGCCTTATCACTCTCTGCAACACTGCTGCAGACCATAAGCAATGGGAATGTCTTTGCTCAGTCAGAGGACAATTGAAGACTCTTTGTATCTCTTCATGCATTTTAGTTTTGAGGAGTCCAGCCCACTTCAGATATTCTTCCACTGAAGCAGATCAAGTACTGCATAGAAAAGGGGATTAGATTTCAAATGGGTACCACCTCTTCAGAGGCAGATAGAAGCAAGTAAATTTATATTCTTACAAAAATTTACTTCAGCAGTAATGGAAGCAAGTGCATCTAGAAGCCTGCTTTTGCACTGCTTGTAACCCAGACCTATGTTGTAGACGGAAAACTAGGCAATGAAAGTCCAAGTTTAATTTACTCAGCCATTTTAATTTATGAGGCTGACCATAAAGTGTAAAAACCTAGTAAATGGCTGTCAAAGTCTCATAAAAAGTTAGATGGTTAAGCTGCATCAGTTCAGATAAGCTAAGATATGACTAAGACTAGATACAAAATATTTTCTAATACATTAGACCGTATCCTTCCTTGGTGTAAGTTAACATAACTCCACTGATTTCAGTAAGACTTAGCAATGCTTTGATTTTCCCATATAAAAATAAACAATACTTCCAGCATCACTGGACACTCACGTCTAATCAAACAATGGAACTGAAGCTCTCACATGAAATTACTGTCAACCTTGCCTGTTGTCATTTTGCAGTCCAGATTAAAGAAAGCTTTCACTTTGTCTCCTTCCAGGTATGACCATGAATCCCTACTGAATGTAACAGGATGGCATCACAGCAACAATGACAAAAATCTGGTGGCTGTGCACCCACTCACTCCAATTGCTTCCAATTATCCTGAATGAGCTCTGCATTTCTAGGAAGCAGTTCTTCCAGAGAATAACAATGATCATCACATATCTGCTAAGTAATCAAGGGCATAGCTCAAGGAACCATCAAATCTCTATTGCATCTTAACTTCAAGTTCTGAAAAGAGGAAGGATAGTCACTTTTGGATGGAGGGAGGGCTGGACAGAGAAAGGGGAGGCCAGGGTGGAGACAATATCCGTAAAAGCAAACATGAAGGCAGCAGAAAATTGTATCATACTTCTGAATATTGCAACCTATGTTGTTTCTAGAGTTGACACTGTGGATTGCAATGAGGCTGGTGGACGGGGTATTCTTATCAGACAAGCAAGCACTTACTAGTACTGTGTCATGGAGCGTCTAGCACTCCATGGAGTGTCATGTCAAAAAAAAAACCCCTATCACTTCTAGTAGCATTATTAAGTGTCTCAATCTATTGTTGACATGTCTAGTGTAAGATCAGGACATAACTGTTACTCAGACAGAAAAAGAGAGAAATGAGTGCTGCTCATAAAGATACAAGATGAAGATGGACCTGCACTAGGAACATCATAGTTAACATGGAACTCCTGCTTGTTTTCCTTTTTTCCCCACCAAAAGGATAGAGATTGTATTGTTAAAACAGCTGGAAGTACATTAAATGTGCAGGCTGTGGAAAATGTACCAATTATTGAACAACACAAAAATGGAAGAAAAACTTGCTATTTATCATGACGGTTAGTTTATAGGGAGGGAGTGGACAGGTAAAGAACAACAAAAATCTATTTCCTGTCTAATTTACTGGCTAATTTGAAGAAAAAAAAAAACAGAATGAGTGAAGAATACAGAGACAAAAAAAAGAAACAAAGAGCAGGAAAAAACATATCTAAAAATTCAGGGTCCTTTCCAAAACCTTCAAATTGAGAGTAGGTTGAAACCAATCATGTTCATTGCCCAAGCAGGCAACTGTCATAGTTGCAGGCAGAGATAAGGTGACCACAAAGGCATGACCACTTAGTCTGGGTGCTAAGTGACTGGTAGACAAGACACTGTTTTTCTATGATGTGGCTTACTCTGAGAAAAAGCTCCAGGATGTTCCCTTTTTGGTATTTTTCAGCTACAACTCTCTAGTGTTATTAGTCAGTCTCTGTAACGGTAGTTAATGTACCTCTAAAGCTACAAATCTAACAAACATAAGAGCACTGCGTTTTGTTAAAAGCAAGCTCTGTGCTTTCCTTTTTCCCATGCCTGTGACCCTCTGTGCACACAGCAGAATCATCGCAGCTCTGCTTTTTGGCATGTCGCACAACACAGCTTCTGCACAGCTGGACTTTGTTCTAGACCGCTTCTCCTCAGCGAAGTACACAGCAGGGCAGGAAGCATTCCTCACTCCACAGTTACCTTGCTTTAATTCTGCATAAAAGACAGAGGCTCCAGGCTCTACAACAGGCCATATGCTGCAGCAATGACAGAAGAGTAGCTGCATAGCCTCTTGGTGCCAAATCACTCTTAACTAAGAGAGAATTCCAGACCCTCCTAGATCCCATGACTGCAGTTTATTTACATGGCTTTGGATGCATAGATGTGAGCTACATATGGCCCCTACAGCCGCTAACTGAACTAGGAACAGAAAATCGGCTTTAAGAAATAGGTAAACATTGGAGACAGGTAACACTAGAAGGAAAGAAGCACAAAGTAAGGCCATTCAGATAGCGCGTATAGCTTTTCAAATGAGTTGGACCAGCAAAGCTGTGCTCCAGAAGAGCCCTGAGCAACGGCAGCGTGTCAGAGGTCATGATGCTTTGAACAGGCTAAAAAGAGAAGGAAAAGATTAGAAGAGAGATGAAGCAAAAATCCCTCAAGGATTTTTTTTTTCCTCTCTAAAAGATAAAAAACAATTCCATGTACTTTGCACCACCACTCCTTACAAGAACAGATTAATTCTGATAGAAAACAAGCAGCTTGACACATCCACAGTACTAGCATACATAAGTATTATCTTTTAGCTTTTGTGAAGCGCCTGTGGTTCTCTCACCAAACTCTATCAGTACTAGCTGGTCATTTCAACAGAAATACCAATGGTTCACACATACAGATAGATTGGATAACTTTTCCCCAGAAAACTGGTCTTTCTAACAAGAAAGAAAACAGCAATAAGGTTGACTGTCAAAAATTACATCATAGCAGTTATATTTTGTGGTTAAAGTCCCCCATGCCTACTAATGTAGAACTGATCAAACTGATCATCACAGCTGTAATGGGAAGGAGCTGCTAACAGGATGCTCCTGCAAGGTACTCTCCCCTGTAAATAGACACTACCAGTTTCATGATTAGAAAGCGAAATTGTCAAGAGCAAAATAAGTTTCAGAATGCAGACTTTCAGCTTAACATTTGACCAGGCTGAAGACCTCAGTGTATTTACGCTTCAGGTGACATTAAGTAGATGAAAATAACTGTGCCAAGACATAGTCCACACTAGATGGGGCAACAAGTTTTGGGCAAGTAGTTCATCTGTTGACGTGCAGTTACAGACAGACTGGAATTCCTAGGAATAAAATCATATCCCAATGAAGGAAATTTTGTCCAAAACAAAAAGACAGTTTCATCTGAAAACTTCGGTAGTTCAGCTGCTAACACAAAAGATGGGTTCTTTTTTATTCCAAAACTACATCCAAGTACTGGCTTTGCTATATCGACTTTTTAAAAAGGTAAAAAGTATGTTCTCTGTAACAGAAATCATTTGCACAAACCTAGTTTGTGTATTATCATCGCTGATGGAATCTTGAATGTTGTCTTAAAGCATCACACACAAATTGCTCTACACATCAGAACAAATTAGAGAGCTTCGTCTGCATCCCTGAGTGACTCTCATCCCTAGTGTTCTCATTTTTCCCTTGTAGATCAGCTAGTAGAACTGGGGCTTATTTAGCCCTAGATAAAGCACGGTCCTCCAGGCTGGCAGAATTGCCGTTTACACTATAATTTAAAACAACTTTACACACCTACTTTAACAAACAAACCAAGCAACTACTTACTGTTCTTCTTGTACATCAAGATTTCAAAGGAGTTCATCTCATAGTTCTCAAATGTTTGCCGGACCTTGTCAATTGTATCTTTGTCTGTCAGCTCTCCATACATAAAACTGCAAATAAAGCAAGAAATTCAAGTCAGATGCTAGACAAAGACACAAAGCCATTTGTTTACAGTGTGAAAAGAACCTATTTGGAAATAGCCCTTCTTTGATTTTGTTTCACCTGGAAAGCATATTTGACAGATGCAGCCCCAGGAGATAAAAGACAAAACTGGAATAAACAGATTACTTTTCTCCTCAAGCAACAAGCACAACACTACAAGCTATTTAACAGAAAATAAATCTGTTCTCAAATACCTGCAGGTGCTGCTTTTTTGCATAACTTCTGCTCTGTGATATCCTGATAGCTTGCAAAATCCATCATTGCTGTAGACAATGGGCCAATCCACTATCTGGGCATTACCCAAGACAAAATTAGTATCTGTTTGAAAGAGCACATCAGTTAGACATTAGACAAGGCTATGGTTGCATTAGAGGAAATACTCATTTGAGGACCCAATCCTGATTGCTTCAGTCCCTGCGCAGTTTTTCCCAGATACTATTCCCACTGCAGTCAACAGGATTATTCCTGGTTTTAGTTTTAAGTAAATACTTATTAAAAAAATATTAATTACTCATGCAAAGCTTAAGAGGATGGTTTTATGCAAATGAAACACATGATGGTTAAGCAGGTAAAATTCATCTCTTGACTGAGGACAGATTCACCAAACTGTTTCCCTCTGTGTGACATGCATTGATCCACCACGACACTCAATTTGAATGTGAAGCCTCTAACACGTGGCCAAAACAGCACATGAGCGATATTTCTCCTCTCCGAATGTAGACACAGTGGCTCCTCTCAATATCGCCTTCACTGCTGGCCACACAAGCTCAAATACTTCTTGTGGGATGTGTACAGCACAGTGCTCCAAACTAGACACCAGACAACTAGGGTTAGTACTTACACCAGTAGAAAGAACTTTTTATTTGCTGTACAAGCCAGAAGGAGTTTCAATCAGTAAGGAAAAAAAACCAAGTAGGAGTCATGCCTCCATTCTCACCGGATCTGTGTGTGCTACTTTATGATTGCGCTCTCATTCAAATTATGAACATACTCAACGCTGGGCCCAGACCTCGCTTTTCTCTTGCGCAGTCAACTAACTACACCTGCGCCAAGACAGACAGCAGTGCTGCTGCCTGGGCACCAGCAGGCAGGCAGGAGATGGTGGCTCCTTTCACAGCTGCAAAGACCTCCCGGCTTCTGAAAGAAAGGCTAGGCAGCCACATGAGATTAAGAGGCATTCATATTTAAGGGGAGCCTTTAAGGGAGTCCACTACACTGTCTACTTTTCAGGATCTACCCCCAACTGCTCAAACATACATACCTGTCATTAATGCTTCCTGCAACCAAGAGACACAAACAAGACATTTTACCTATTAACTGCAAAGAGTTTTGTTTATTTTAACTTTCCCTTTCAAAATCTTTTGTCCCATTGCAAACTTCAAGTGGGTTTGAATAAAACATTCCTGTACCTGTCTAAATCCATTGCCCAGTCCCATGAGCATGATTAAGTGTATCTTTATACACTCTTTAGAATGAAATACACCAGTAGTATAAATTCAGGACATTTTAACTGCTTTGTTTCTCACAGTCTCTTTTAAATACCATGGGTTTTGCTTGGTTGAAGCACTTTGTTCCAAAAACAATACATGTCTTCTACCCCTTCCTATGAATAAGTAAGCCAAGTCATTTCTCATTGCTAAAGCAAGTGCTTTTGAGTGTCTATTATAAACACTGCATTGTACTGTGTTAGGATATTTTTAAATTTTCATCAGGAAGTACAAAAAAATGACAAAAAAATATGCAAATACAAATGTTAGGCCAGGCTCTGCCCTGAATGATGTTGTTTCATGCATGCATTCCTTCTCACCGTCTCCCCTTCTCAAAAGGTAACTTACCCTTCCCTTCACTTCCTCAAGAGCTCCTTGAAGAGCTTCTATTAACTTAAGCAGCGGCCTTCCTTTCACGCTTAAAGCTCACCATTTTCTTTGGATAAATAACCTCTTTTTTTTTTATTAAAAGCTATATAGGGCACTTTTCTGATGACCATTACCATGCTAATCCGCCTTTTATCTAGCCTTGCAACGCTTCTGTGAGGTATGACAGTGCTTTTATCTTTTTACAGGTAAAAACAAAGCACTAAGTCCACTAAGCACCAAAAGGTGAGACTGCTACAGCCTAGGCCCTAGATGCCCAGCTCTCAAAGACCTGGGAGCTGGAAGCTCCATGCACAGTGTTGGTGCGATAGAACTGAAAAACATTAGCACAGCAAATAGAAACCTGCCCAAGTTAAAATATGGAAAACAATGAAAAAAGGGGATATTTTAAGGCGGGGGGGGGGGCGTTCCCCTTTCCTATATTACTTACAACACCTAATATTTTAACATAAGCCCAGTTCTCATAGATAATACCCAAGATTCTTTGCCATTATTGCAGAAGCTAAAGAATCACATTCCCACTGCTTACCTTTCAGCCCAATGAAGCCTGATTTTTTTGGACTGGCAGTTTACAAAGGATGCTTTGGAAACATGCACATATTTCCCTCCTCTCTGACAGCCTAGCAGTTTGGGTGTTCTCCTACAAGATGTGGGCCTACCTGAGGGCAGTGAAAGCTCAGCCTTCATTTCAGCTCCTGAATGACTATTCTAATCATCAAGCTTCCTAAGGCAACAGATGCCAACATCCTCACCATATGAGTTTTTAAGTCAGTGTGACTTGGCTGTTGTATTTTATGCATCCCTATTAGAAAATCCTGTTAGTCTACATTGGGTAAGCCTCTCCAGGAGGTGGAGGTGGAATACTTCATCAGAGAGTCCAGGTTGGGTTTAGTTGGGAGTTACGACCAAGCTGAGATCTTTATGTACCTACAAAGCTTTAAAGGCAAAAACTTGGACACATATGAATTCAAAGAGCAAGTCAAAGGTTTTGATGATCCCACTGTTTTATAAGGGTGTCTCGCTTCTAGCTAGTTTCCACTTCATGCATCTTCACCCTTCTTTGATCCAAGCCTTACGTAGCTTACAAACACACAGGAAGCAAATACTGAAGTTGGACCCTTCCTCTGGAGTCAACACCACAACCCTGACTCATCTTTGGGCTTGTTCCTCCAGCTCCACTGCCACACTTTTTTAGTGTTTGCCCTGGGGTGATCCCTAGATCCAAAAAAATGCCCTGAAGGGACCAGTGCTTGGGAACTCCCCATGTAGCTGAAAGCTGCAGGGAAGCCGTTGGCCCCTGCGAGTACAGCAGCCAGGCAGCTGAGAGAAGCTGTGGTGTAGCACCATCCAAACTGACAGGCCAGGAAAGAGGTTTCCAACCCACCACTCTCTGCCTGCTTTCCTTGGGAGGTTACCGGGCTCAGGATGATCAGGTCCTTCGTTTCTGATTTTGTTGGAAAGGGAGAGATGATCTGCATTGGTGGTTTCAAAACTTCCTGTACCCACTTTTTTTTTTTTTTAACTTGCTGTGGCCTAACAGCCCACAGAGTGGGAGCCCCAGCATCTGCAAAGAAATTGTCTTGGAGACAAACAGGAATTTCTTTCCAGTCACTCCTCTTCACAGATCTCTTTAAAGACAAAACAATGACACAGCAGTGGTTTCGTGCCTATATGGAGAACACACCTGCATTTCTTCAGAAGGAGGGTCTCCGACAATGGTGTTTTGCCTGTGCAAACACTGGCAAGACACAGCATAAAATAAGGACTCCCACTTACAAGTCCCCTGCATAGTTTATTCTGACAGATAACCAGGAGGTAGAAGGGATGTTCTCATTGCTATCATATACATTCAATTGCATTGACAACCCTGACAATGTGCTGCTTGAAGACAGCTCATAATCTGTTAAACAATTGTTCCTAACATAAGAAAATATTAAATAACATCCACTGAAGCAAATATTGCCTCTCCATCTACAGGGACACAGGGTCCCAGAGGCCAGGAAACAGCTGTGGCTTTGTTGCACAACAAGCACGAGGGATGCTCTACTGAACTCTTTGAGCATCACAGGGCAAAGCCTCCTGGGGACTCAAAAGTGGGTCAACAAGGCCAGAAAGGAGTTGGTCAGAGGAAGACCGTGAAGAAATCCACTGCTAAATTGTCTTCAAAGACAGGGGCTAATAGGTACATGCAATAGCTGCAGTACTCAAACTATTTAGTGACTTGAGGCACCTCTTTGAAAGGTCTCAAAGGACTCCCTTACCAGGAAATCAATTTCTATCACAATGTCAATTGGGTTAGCAGTATTGCCTGGCCCAAGGAGAAGCTATAAGCATCATTGGCCCTTCTTATCAGCTCCAAGAAGAACCGAGCTAGGAACTGGAGAGGGTGGGCTCATATAAAAGACGACCTGGGGTTCTGGCGTGTGCTGCATTTGGCACAGTATGAGCAAGACCATTGGGAGGCGTAGAAATGTGTAGAAGCCCAGCACAGAGCACAGCATGCTGCAGAAACACAAGTAAGAACTGTAGCACCTCAAAGGCAGCACAATTACTTGCATGAGTAGGGTGGGCTTCTGTGATGAGGGTCTGCAGCACTGGTTACTTTGTGAAGTGCCTCACTTCATGTTTTCTAGACTGCTTTTTCCACAAGTCAGTTCTGTTTACTGCAGTATTTCCACGTCAGCCTTTACACACTCAAATGTCAGACCCATTTTGGATTATCACTTTAAACTAGACACAGCTGCTTTAAAGCAATAAGAAAAACATTCTAACTCCTTCCAAAATGTAAGAATGGATTTTGCTCAGTCACTGAAACCAGTACTTTCCTCCACTCACAAAATACACCGTCGCAGAAGAATCAGAAAACGTCTTTCCAAATAACAGCGATACTTTAACAACAGCGACAGCAAGTCTCCAGGACACCCAGCTTCACCGAAACTACTGTTATCTACTGAATCTTGCTTTACATATAGTGCTTGGTTTAACCAAAACCATCCATCAGCTCAAACCTCCACAATGCCTGAGGACAAGCAGCACCTCACAGACGTGTATTTGGTCAGGACTACCGGACTAAGGAGAGGTCACATCCTTGCAATAGCATGGAGCAAGTTACTGAAACGCTTCCTCCCTACCATTCCCCCTGCACTGCTGCACGTTCGCACCCATAGCATCCCAGCCTCTCCTGTAAGGGGGACCTTGCCAAGCTGAGCCCCCACCTCCTTCCAGAGGCCAGCACACCAGTTCTGCTTCCCTGTTCCTTCAGTGATGCACAGGCCCTCTTCTGGGAAACACTGGCAGAAGGTCAGACACTAGCAGCCAGACATATTCCCACAACGCTGCCAGACATGTTCCCACATTGCTGTCGGCACAGAGGAAGCACATGGAGGTGACCAAAGGGAAACCTCTGCTCAGCGAGCTGTAGCACAGACCTTGGTAACAACAGAG